TTCTTTTATTATAGGAAGATAGACTTTTAAAAATTCTCATTAAAATGAGATGGCGTTCTAGGTAACTGTAAGTGGTATCTTGCTTATAAAATAGAGAGTTTCATTTAAGTATTTTCACCTTCTTGGCTGTTCTTCGAGTAAAGTTGTGGCTTTTCGCTGGAGCTGTATATTGTTTGGATACTCCTGGGGCATTCTTTTTTGCATTTTTTTTTTTTTTTAGTGTAGCAAGCTATTTATTCAGCCATTGATAAAGCTGGTTGAATTGGGCGTGAACTGCACATTATTTTTTTTTATTTCTAAATTTTTTTAATTGAATATCCATGAGATAGACCATTCAAAAACTGTTTATAATTGAGTTTCAGCCATACAATGATCCAGACCCATCCCTCCACCAGTGTACATCTACCAATGCCAATATCCCCTGTTTTCTTAACACCATCCTCCAACACCCAACCCCACCATCCTCAGCCTCCCTCTATGGGAGGCACTTTTCTTCTTGCTCTCTCTCTCCAATTCCTTTTGTGCATTATGGTTTGCAACACAGGTACTAATTGGTCATCGTGTTTGTTCAGGGCATTCAGTATTTTTATTGGGGTGGTAAGGCTGGAGTAGCTTTTCAATTGGGCGGTCACTTTGGGATGTGGATGTGACTGCCGAGGCTTCTGGAAGTACAGGGAGGTGGGGGGAGTTAGACCATCCTGACCCTGAGAAAGCCTGGAGATTTCAGTCACAAAATTCACGTACCCAAATTTTAGCAGATTCTATCTTGGTGAGGTCATTCTGAGACGGTTGAGTCAGACCTGGGGTATGGTGGTGATTTTGGATTGTGGAAGCAAGAGGCTGCCGGGGGCTTTGCTTGGGTGGTCCCAAGGCCAACTCGCCCCCCTCTGATTTATCCTGGTTTGTTCAGCCATGTGCGGGTCCGAGATTAACTGCGACTTTTGATTTCTTTCTAGATTTATTTATAGGTCTCTGAAATAAGGCCAACAAATGAGCTTGTATAGCTGAGCCGGAGGTGATTTGTGAGCATGGCTCCCACATACCTATCTTTTGACCATTTAAATTCTTGATAAACTTTGTTGGGGTCTGGCCAAGGACACAGTGGCAATTTTGGGATATCAGGAAGCCTGAAGGCACCATCAGGTTGCTTATGCACTCGCCCCACGGGTATGGGTTGACCTTCTGGCTCCACCATAGCCCCTCATTTTTGGAATTTGAAAGATCTGATAGCAGCTCTTGGGGATTCTGGTGGCTGTATTCTTATTTGACTTGTACTGTTAAATTTTGCCCCTGAAACAGGCAGACCTAGAAGCCATTTACGGTTTTCTCTGCCAACTTCTAGGAAAGGATCTATGTATTCTGACCAGGAAGACTGAGCACCTGTGTACATTCCAGCAATATGTGATCAGGCTTATTCTTTTTAAGAGGTTTTAAAGGCAACTTCACTCACAGAAGACTTACAAAATAAGCTAACAATTCAAACTTTGAAAATAAATTACATTGAAATTTAATGTAGGTATAATTTGGTCGTTAAAATGTAGATAAGTATATATTTTGTTAAAGCTGGACCATTTGGGAGCTGAAGCAGTGGTATAGCATGTCGGGGACACGTTTTGCACATGGCTGACTCAGGTTCAACCTCGGGTACCACATAGGGTCCCTTGAGCCTAATGGGAGCTAAGCCTGAGCACCACCAGGTGTGGTCCAAAAACCCAAAACAGACAAATCTGGGCCAATTTAAAATGATCTCTGCAACAGAGTGTATAATTTTCTTCATGATTTTTAAAAATTTTTTTTTAAATTTATTTTTTAATAGTGAGGCACCATGAGGTACAGTTGTAGACTTACACATTTTTGTGCTTGGGTTTCGATTATACAATGATCAAACACCCATCCCTCCACCAGTGCGCATTTCCCACCACCACGGATCCCAGCATCCCCTCCCCCCCCAGCCCCCATCCCACCCTGCCTCTGTGGCAGGGCATTTCCCTCTCTCTCCTTTTGAGTGCCATGGTCTGCAAAAGAGGCATTGAGTGGCAATCATGCTTGGTCGACAGTCTACCCTCAGCATGCTCTCCCATCGTGGGCTGATCCTCCCAACACCCTTTATTTGGTGTTCCCTTCTCTTTCTGAGCTCCCCCTTCCCCCAGAAACATCATGAGTGGTGGCTTTCCTGAGTGGTCTGTATTTAGTTTGAGGAGTTTAAATGAAACTGCTGTCAGTCCACCAACACTAACTGCATTTGTGCACCCCTAGTTTTCAGTACTGTTTGTAAGTAGGACATGGCTTTCCTATGTGACTTTGCCTGCCTTTGTGACAAGGCCTAACTTGCTCACATTCACTTCAGTCACAGTGATTTTGATGATTGCATCAAATAAAGTTGTGTGTAGTGGAGACCATGGAGTTTTTACTGCAGCAAGTATTGGCAGCATCAGGTGGCTTTTAGTTCAACGTGTGTTACAGCCTGCTTTTTCAAATTATAAACCCATGCCTCATGATGCCTCCTCTTTAGGTTTCCCCCTCCCCCCTGTATAAAGCCATTGCCAGAATAACAGCCTTTAATAATGATCCTTTTCCATGCTTTCTTCTTTCTCCTTACCTTTTCAGCAACTTTTAATACTTCATTTCTCTGTGGGTACTAACATTGGGGCAGAGAGGAATTTCCCATCTTTCCTGCTTTTTTTTTCCCCCATTTTTGTTTGATTGCTGTTGGCTTAAGTACTGTAGCTTGGCATTCCTCCTCTCTGGACTCCCTGTGGGATCTCTTCATCATTCTTTTGTTTGGTGTTTCTCTTTTCATGTATCTTGATAGTCCTTCTCACTTGTATCTTCTTAGAAGGTGCTATTTGCAGGGGCTTAACTTTCAGACCAGTCATCACTTTTTTTTTCTTGCCTTCTTAAAACCTTCACACTTTCCTTTTCATTTTTTTATGGTAATTACAAACAATATCTGTAGTACTTAAGATGTGGCTCATTTTTGTGTCCTGTAACTCAATATATTAATTTTTGTGGCAGCTGCTGGTAGAAGCTGCTCTGGGCATTAGGAATCTTATGATTTTTAGGACTCAGAGACATAGAAATGGGTCGTATCTATGTAGCTGTGACCAGAAAGACAAATACTTATATGTATACTTTGGGGCCCACACCTGGCCATGCTTAGGGTTACTCCTGGCTCTGTGCTCAGGATACCTTGTGTGGTGTCAGTGTCTGAGTTGGGGTGGAGGGTGAAGGCTAGAGCCTTAATCCTTGGACTGTCTTTCCAGCCCCTAATGAATGATTTTGAAGTGACTTTTTCTTTCTTTACAGACATTGATATTCCTTTTTTTTTTTTGACCTTGATGTTCTGTGGGCAGAATGGACTTAGGGCAAAGAATGGTTCTGTACAGAGTGTACTGTGTATCAAAGGAAGTGGTTTTCATTATTCTCCATTTTCTGTTCTTTATGGCTTGATTATTTGTGACAGTATATATGACCTCAACTTTAGGGTTCCTGAAAATATACAGAATACTTTCTCTCTGTAAACCCATGGGGTAAGCCTAAAAGACTGAGTGTCATATCACTACATATTAAAGGAATATGTATTTTGTGGTGTCAAGGGTTGAACTTGGGCCCTCTACATGCAAGGTGTGTCCTTTAGCTTTGAACCTCATCTCTGAAACTGCGGTAACATTATGTGTACCATTTACTGAAGACTCCTCTGCAAAGGACTTGATTCTATTCACATAGTACATACTGAGTGTCTGCTATGTCCGGGGTTCAGGGACTTAGAGACTATAAGAGTACAATAGAATCCTTTGTTCATGTCACTTCCAAGCTAGTAGAGACAGCTGTTAATAAAACATTTATGTGTATACATTCATACTAGTTTTACTGAAGTGTGATGAGTGCTATAAATGGGAAAGTATAGAGTGCTATAAAAACATATCCCTGTCACTGTCACTGTCCTCCAATCATTTAAATGATTTAAATCTCACCCTTAAATATGGATTCAATTTGCTCGAGCGGGCCCAGTAATGTCTCCATTGTGACACTTGTTACTGTGTTTGGCATATTGAATACGTCACGGGTAGCTTGCCAGGCTTTGCCGTGTGGGCAAGAAACTATTATTCCTCCCAACAGTTGTTTGAGTTCAGTACTATCGTTAGTGGAGACTGAGGCTCAAGGAATGTTGGATAGATCGCTAAAGATCAGAGAGCTTGGAAATGACAGAGCTGAGACTTGAAACCCAGTAAGTCTGACTGAATGTGCTGTTAGTACTGTTATAGCTACTCTGAGCATTTATGGACATTGACTCTAATTAGATAGCATTCTTATTTCCTAGTCTACAATTTCATAGAATCTGGAGGGGGAAATTTTGAGGATAATTAAGGAGCCTGTAGGGTACTGGGAGGAAAATGGTTGAACTCTACTTCAGAACTATTGGGAGGTTCTGAGTTTGTTGGCAGCAGCTGGGCTCCGAATCCACTAATCCATATTTAAGGGTGAGATTTAAATCATTTGACTTCATTGTTCTTCCAACCTCTGTGCTAATTGTCATGTTTCTGAAACGTTACCTTTTAATTTCTTTGGTTTTCTTCTTGAGTCTTGAGATTTTAATTAAATACTTGAAATATCAAACATTCTTCAAAGACCTCAACTAGAAGTACAGAAAGACTTAAGGAAAAAGATAGTGCAGAAAAAGCTTCTGTCTTTCTGTCTTCTCTATGTTCTCCACTCTTAGATAGATGCACCTTAAAAAAAAAAAAATCCAGAACTCAAAAACTGTTTTCCAGTTAGGATAAAAAATAGTGCTATTAATAATTATAAAATTTTTCCTTTGCCTTTTTCCTTGATCCACCTCTTATTATCTGAAGATCTTATTATCATCATCATAATAATAATAATAATAATAATAGTAATAATCTTATTATCATCTGAAGACCTAAGGCGTATTCTCTTCTGCTTTCTTATTGGCAGGGCTCATAAACCTTCACTGAATTTTGGCATTGTCTGTTTTTCAGGAACAGTGGAGGAACCTGGACTCCACTCAGAAGGAGCAGTACTGGGACCTCATGCTGGAGACCTATGGGAAAATGGTCTCAGGAGGTGAGGATGTATATCATCACGACGAAAGGAGACTGAAAGACATTTTCATCTCTGTAACTTAAAAATAGCATTTCTAAATGTAGACCTCAGAGGAATCTTCAACAATACCATGTCATTGGTTAAAACTACAGAATGGAAACTAAACAAATGGGACAACATCAGACTTAAAAGTTTCTGTGTGGCAAAAGAAACATGAGGTAAAACTGGAGGACAGTTAAGTGAGTGGGAGGAAATATTTGCACTCAACACATCAGATAAAGGATTGATATCCAGGATCTGTAAAGTACTTACAAAGATCAACACCTCCCGCCCCCCTCCCCCCCCAATATCCCCATCAAAAATTGGGCAGAAGAAATGAATAGGCACTTCTCTGAGGAAGACCAAGGGATGGCCAACAGGCACATAAAAAATGCTCATCATCACTTTTTATTAGGGAAATCCAAATCAAGGCAACAATGAGATATTATTTCACACCAGCGAGAGTGAAACAGGTATAAAATACTGGCAGTAATCTCTGTTGGTGGGGATGTGGTGAAATAGAAACCCTCATTCATTGCTGGTGGGAATATCTGGTCCAACCCCTATGGAAAACAATATGGAGTTTACTCAGTAAACTAAGAATTGAGCTCCTTTATGACCCAGGACAGAAAAACGTTTATTCAAAAGAACATGTGCACACCATGAGTCATTGCAGCACTTAGTATAATAGCTAAGATTTGGAATCAGCCTAGATGTCCAATGACACATAAATGAATCATGAGATGTGTTATATACACAGTGGAATACTACACAGCTGTTAAAAACAATGAAATCATGCAATTTGCTGCAACATGGAGGAAGCTGGAAGGCATGTTAAATGAAGGCAGAAGAAGGATAAGCAGAGGATGATGTGTGGGATTCATATCCTATCACAGCACTCATATGTGTGATTTAGAATAACTGAATGAAGTAAAGCAGTGTTTTAAAGGAGGGTGCCCAGATCAATCTTGAGTAGAGGGAGGAGAAGGAAAAGAGGAATGGAACGAAGGAAGAAGAGACAGATACGAAGCAACAGGGGCCAGGGCAGGGGCCAGGTACCAAGGTGGTGTTAAGGGATGATAGAGCCACATATCCAAACCACAGAGTCAACAACTGAAATCAAGAGACCCAAACTTGAACAACCAAACTTAGAAAGGTGCCTATCAAGAGGGCAGACTGGGGTGGGGGTGGGCATATAGGAGGGAACTTGGGAACGTTGGTAGAAGGACGCTGACACTGGTGGTGGGATCAGCGCTGCAATATTGTATGTCTAAAACTCAATGGTGAATAACTTTGTAAATCACAGCATGTTAATAAAAATGTGGAAAAGAAAAAAAAGAAATAGCTTTAACATTTGAAATTGTCTGGATACAAGAGCTATTAGAGTAAAACTTCCTTGTATTGAAACTTCCTTGTACAGAAGCATTAGTTCCAAGAACTATTATGCTTATGTAACTTTTAGTAATTTAGGAAATATATCATGCTGTTCACATTTTGAAGATGATTAAAGTGAGTGTCAAATAAGTTATTTGCTCTCCATGACATAGTTTGTAAAGTGTTGACTTGGAATGGAAATCAGTTGTGACTGGCTAAGTCCCTGTTCTCTGAGTCTGTGCTCTTTTCTGATAAAGCGTACTGTTTCAGCTCATGGTTGTTGGGATCTCATTCCCAGCCTGCCCAGGGTTGGATCAGATAGTCTGATTCACTTGCCAAGATTCTGTTCATGACCTTTTACTGTTGAGTCTTGTCATCATTTGGGTACTAGTGAGTGCTCAGAAGTCCACGTGTCCCGGTAAGTTGCATTGCCCTTGTGCTCTTGAGTCTTCACCTTGCCCTTCATGCTCGAAGCACTCCTGTGAAAGACACAGCTTAGTTGCTAAATTAATTCTCACTAATTTAGACCGATATCTCATTCCTCTTTGTGCCAGGCATTTCTGGTTCTAAGCCTGATCAAAACGACTCAGCAGAATATGGGGAAGAACTCGCTGGGCTGCACCTTCATGTCAGTGAGAAGATCGTAAGACCCCCCTGCATAGGTGAGTGATGTTGCTTTGGTGTAGTCACTCCTGATTTTAAGTCGTTAACTTGGAGGAGGTTGGAGAGATACTAGAGTTTGGCTTTTATTGCGTTGTTTATAACTAATCATGGTAGTCCAGTTTTAATACTGAGGTATTATCCCTGGTTATGAGATTTGTTATATAACATTCATATGTTATATATTTTGAGAATGGGGAAGTGAAACAACGAAGCTGTGTGGTAAAATAGTGATTACCATTTACATCTTTTCTAAAACAGCATTTATGTAAAACCTAACTTTAACCTGCCTATCTACACACATACATAACACTGCACTTTCACACACAAGATCCCAGGTGGAGATCTGAGAAAAGAGCTGAGCTCGGGACTTTGGTGCCTGTCATTATTTGTCCCAAGTGGAATCTAATTATTTTCCTTTACTAATATACCACAGAGAGTGCAAGTATCAGGTGAGACATATGATTTTAAATTTTGGATTTTGGGCCATACCCAGCAGTTTTCAGGGCTGACTCCTGGCGCTGTGTTCAGGAGTCATTCCTGAGAGTACCATATGCAGTTTGCCAGTAGAGGAGAACACAGGAGCACTTTTCCATGTGTAATACAAGTACCTTAACTCCTATGATATCTCCCCCGCCCCGTGATTTTTAATTTAAGCAATATACGTATAATACTGTTTTACTAAGGAGTTCTTTAAAAAAGTATGTTCAGTTTGGCTATTATGACCAACTAGTGGGTTATGAAATTATATGGTTTCAGTTGGCATTTAAAAAATTAATTAGTAAATAGAAAGTATTAGAACCTACATAGAAAATATCAGGTGTCAGGTTAGGTTGTATTTCCAGAATTGCGCCTCCTACCCCCTGCCAAAGATGTATGTGTTTTTCAATTTAAATGCATTTCTTGCTGTGAGTAGTATTTTTTAAAAGTTAGAAAATAATGTTTTAGGGGTTGTTGCTGGAGGATTAAAAAAAAAAAAACAAGATTAGGGTCACCCGCACCTGCTGGTACTGTACTTGGACCATGGTCTGTGGTGCTCGGAGGACTGCACAGCGCAGGGCACTAAGCCTTGGGCTTCTGCAGGCAGAGTGTGTGCTTCACCCTTGGAGCCATCTCCTTGGCCCCAACCCCCACCATTTAAAACACTTTTGTTCACAGAAAAATTTGAGCAGAAGTAGAGAAATTTTTCCACATACTCTTTTGCAGTAGGATTTTATTTGTGATATGTAGTTCACTGTATTCCCCCGATTTATGCTGTTGACATAGTCCTATCAGAGCTTCCTAGAATCAGAGTGTGGAGTGTGTATAAAGCACCATGCATGGACAAAGCAAAGGAATGCTATTGTCGAGAGACAGTACGTGGAAAGAGACTGAGCAAGTAGCAACATGAACGTTTGGAAGAGAAGCAGCCTGAGGGAAGTCATTGTGAGTCCACGTAGAGACGAGACCTTGGGCTGGTATAGAAGCAGCAATAATGGAAAGAGCTGGTCAGGAATAAAACCACTACAGTTAACCAGTCAGCCAGATCTGGATACAGAATATGGGGAAGAGCAGGAGACAGCACATATGATATTTTGGTCAGATGGAAGAACAGCTTATAGTTAAAACAGGTCATCAGGACAGTAAACCTCAAAGAAGTCATGTACTCATAATTAATTCCAGGGATTAAAAAAATTTGGAATAATGACTCAAATTTTTTGTGAAGAATATTGCAAGAATTACGGAAGTGAAAAAAATAGATAAGGGGGGGATGGAGATCGAAGAAAGGAAGGAATAATTTTTATTTGATTTTGATTTTTTTGTGGTGCTGGGGATCAAATGTAGTTCCTCACATGTGCAAAGCATGCACAGAGTACATGTAGCACTGAGCTATATCCAGTGATTAAGAATAAACCTTAAAGAAGAATGTTTTATCAATATTATATGTATAAATGTTAGTATTCTAGGGTTTTTGAAAAAAATAAAATCATTAACAGTATACTGAGAAAATGTAGGTGTACAGAATAATGAAGCAGAAAAAAAATCTGTTCTGTATTAGAATTTAACATAAAACAGGTAAGAGCAGCACAGGTCCATGGACATCGTGCATTAATGAGAATTGTAAGGGAAGAAGTACTGAGAAAAGGAATTGGGTTGAATATTATGTATTTCATATAAAAATAATTGGAAATATATTAGAAAGACAGAAATGAAAATGGTGAACAATGTTATTTGAATAAGACTTTAATATTTTGGAAAGCATGGAAAATCATGTGAGAAATGTTTGACAAGTAACCTTTTTTTTTTTTGCTTTTTGGCTCAAACCTGGCAATGCACAGGGTTACTGCTGGCTTTGCACTCAGAAATTACTCCTGGTGGTGCTCGGGAGACCATATGGGATGCTGGCAATTGAACCCGGGTCGGCTGCATGCAAGGGAAACGCTTTACCTGCTGTGCTATCGTTCCAGCCCCGACAAGTAATTTTAAAAAGAAAACACTGCATGGAAATACATAAGCTGCCTTCATGCAGGGGCCAGGGGGTTGCAGCAGGCCATCTGTCTGCCATGTGTGTGCCTGACCCGGGTACAGGCTTCAGCCCCACCGGGATCGCCTCCCGAGCAGAAGCCAGAAGGAAGCCTAAGCACCATGGGGGAGGGTGGCCAGAACACACTGATTTACAAAGTTGTTCTTCCCTCCACCAGGAAAAGATTTTGAAATGACATTCTTTAAACAAAACTAAGATAACTAAATTGGCGAAAAGCATTTTTCGTGAGCGTGACTCAACTGCTTTTTTTTTTTTAACACAAATTTAATATTAAGTGCATATTGGTAAATAAAAACTGACTTTACAGAATGATACACCATAGACATGCTGCCAGACACTGAGCTAGTCTGTTTCATTTGGGGCAACATAACAAGCAATACAAAATAAATTATTTTGGTTCTGCTTTAGGGCAGGGTTTGAGGTTTAGGGTGCAAATATGATAGTGGGAAGATATAATGATGGTGGGATTGGTGTTTGAGTATTAAATATAATCGAATATTGTGAACAACTTTATGAAAATAAAATAAATGCTTTGAAAAAATTTTAAAAAATTATAAAAATTGACTTTACCAATAACAATGATAGCACTGTTGGAGCACATATAAAATAGCTCATATATGTGACAAAATTAATCTTTTGATAATTCCAGAATTATGATTTATAACAAAAAAGCATTTTCACAGCTGTTGGCAGCAGATAGTTAAGACATATGTCTTAAGTACTTAAGTACTGAACATTTGCCTTATACCAACTTTTCAAATCAGAGAATGACATATTTGTTCTAGAAATTGATTTGCCAGTGTTTTAGGAGACTTCATAAGAATATTCATATCTATTTGCTTATTGAACTTCGAGGAATTTTCTTTAAGATATTTACAAGGAAAAATTTATGAAAAAATATTTATCTATCCATATAATAATGAGCGATAGCACAGCGGTAGGGCGTTTGCCTTGCACGCAGCCAACATGGCCGACCCGAGTTCGATTCCTTCGCCCCTCTCAGAGAGCCCGGCAAGCTACCGAGAGTATCTCGCCCTCACGGCAGAGCCTGGCAAGCTCCCCGTGACGTACTCGATATGCCAGACACAGTAACAACAAAGTCTCCAATGGAGACGTTACTGGGCCCGCTCAAGCAAAAATCGATGAACAACAGGAGGGCCTTTACCTTTACCTTTACCTTGGGTTTTGGTAGACACTTGGCGAGATGCTTAGAGGTTTCTCCTGGCTCTGTACTCAGAACTTACTACTGACAGTGCTCAGGGTACTGTATGGGGTACCAGGGATTGAAACCAACTGGGCCGTGTGCAAGGCAGAACACCTAACCAACTGTACTATCTCTCTACCCCCCCAAATAATTATTTTTAATAAAAGTATACCATAAACAACTTATATGTCCACAGTAAGAGAATTCTTTTTGTTATTTTCAGGACTGTTTATTGAAACACACTGATTTACAAAGTTGTTTATAATAGAGTTGTTTCAGTCATACAACATTCCAACACCAGTTTCACCCCCAATGTCTTCTTCCCTCCACCAGTTATCCCCAGGTTTCTTCCCACCCCCCATTGGCAGCCATATAACAAATTTATTGCATATTACTTGTTCCCATAAAACTGAAAAAAATGGCAAATAGAATTATCAGGAAATACCCATAAAGTCAATTAGTGATGACGAATTAATTATTAGATGTTTTTAGCTTTTCTTAATTTAGTAGAGACAACCACATGCACCACTAGTAAGAGCCATACTCACTGCCATGTGATGGGAAGTTTCTCCTGTCCTTTAAAGGAACTCTATTTTTTTTTTTTCCTTAAATTTTTATTAGTGAAACACCATGAGGTACAGTTGTAGACTTACAAATTTTTGTGCTTGGGTTTCAGTTATACAATGATCGAATACCATCCCTCCACCAGTGCCCGCCCATTCTCCACCACCACCAGTCCCAGTATCCCTCCCATTCCCCCCCCCCCCCCCCATCCCACCCTACCTCTGTGGCAGGGCATTCCCTTTTGTTATCTCTCTCCTTTTGAGTGCTGTGGTTTTCAAAAGAGACATTGAGTGACAATCTTGTTTGGACTATAGTCTATTAATCACACATTTCCCATCCTGAGAGGAACCTCCCAACACCCTTTATTTGGTGCTCCCTTCTCTATCTAAGCTGCCTTTTTCCCTAGCATGTGCGGCTGTCCTCAAAGCTATGGAGTAATCCTCCTGGTACTTATCTCGGCTATTCTTGGGTGTTAGTCTCCTATTTTGTTACTTTATGTTCCCCAGATGAAGGCAATCTTTCTATGTCTATCCCTCTCTTTCTGCCTCATTTGGTTTAGCATGATACTTTCCATATAGTACCACTTATATGTAAATTTCATGACTTTATCCTTTCTGACAGCTACATAGTATTCCATCGTGTAGATGTACCAAAGCTTTAAAGGAACTCTTTTAATGCTTCTTGAAAAACTGGTTTCAGGACCATGAATT